ACATCCTCTCCTTGGGATATGCCAGGATGCAATCTAATAAACTTTCCATGCAATTACAAGTGGTGTAAGTTTCTGTTACAAAAAAAACAAACCTTCGCTATTGTTTTTTTTATTTGTTTGTTTGTTGGCTTTTAAGTCATATGTTGACTTTCCAGATTTACTGGTGAAGATTTCAAGAAGACTTATAATCAAGTGCCCTTGTGTCCAACAAATTCACAGCAATGAGACAGAACAATGAGTATCCTTTATCACTGGACCACCAAAATGTTAAGTTATATGCATCATTGTACAATGTATTTGGTATAATTACTAATAATATTAGTATTATATACTCAATGTCCATGCCTTAACATTGGTGGTGGTTGTTTTGATAGTTTTCACTCCATATCATGGCAGTAAAATACACTGAATTTAAGAGAGCACAATTCAACCACCCCATCGTTCCTGGGGAGGCTGTCAAGCATTTTACCAGTCACAGGGCTTCCACTAGGAATTCTTTTTAGAAAGTCAGGACTTCCTTTCAAGGAATGTTGGAAGTCATGAGGAAAATTTCTGGAAGTCAGTTGTTCTTTCGCGTATAATTTTCATGTTTCAATGTTTGATTTATAGTATGGGATGATACAAGTAACAGCAATTATTTTAATCACAAGATTCTAAAAATGTCATTCCTTTTAATGTTTTAAGTTCAAAGTACCTTTACATGATTGTTTGGTAAATATTTTCAATAGAAGTAAGAACATTACCCTGAAAAGGACTGTATTGTTGTCAGTACTAGTTGCCTTCTATTTTGAAAGGAATTTATAACTTCTGTACTTGCCAGAGCAGAGGTACAGTGCGAATGACTGTACATAGAAAGGATTTCATGATTAATCACAGTGAAAGTGACCTGTACTGTCCTGGGATCAAACCGGGATTGTCAGGGGGGTGGGGGGATGACAACAGTCTGCCTTAACATTTTATTTACATTGTACTTAATATTGGTCAAGAGTTGACTGTTTTTATCATAGCTACATCCCCCTAATTGCCATTATTTTATCTGATGACCCATCAGTAGGGACATTATCATCAGCTGTATGATTACAAACAGATGCCAGTGATGGAAGGAATCTGCCTATAACAGTGCAACAACCTTGTTAGCCTTCAATCAATTGTCAAAGATCTTATCTCACATTATTCTTACCCCCCAAGGGTTTTGAACTCTCCATATCTCATTGACATAAATATAGCAACTAAGTGTTAATGACTTACAAATCACCTGCTGAAAATAGTTGCTTCCTGAAAGAAATAATATACAAATGTAGCTAAAATCATTTGATTTCTTCTGACTGTAATTTGAGTTTCTTGTGCTGCCCTTTTAGACAAATTTTTACTGAATTTTACTATGTTGTTCAAAGAAATTGACAGGTTGTAGTGCGTGGCTCTCCATATGTCATGACCAATTTCTGACTTCCATTTTCATTTCCCATTGGATACACCAAAGAATTACTTTACAATTTTCTTTCATATGTGTAACAAAAGAGGGTTAATGCAATTTTTTTCATGCATTAACAGCTGTGCAGGAAAAGAGAGCACCTGAGGATATATTTAAAGCAGTGAGCCAACAGGAAAAATTTTAAAAAATAGGTATAAAGAAATCAAATTCATTTATCCCATTTCATAGAAATACTATTAAAGAACAAATTTGTATGAGCTTTAGGAAAATTATTATGATACTTGTTTTACATTGTAATTGTTTTATACAAGTACAAATCCTTTGTCTACTTGGTGTACTATCAGGAGTTGGGTCAAGAAGCCTTAATGAATGACTTTGGTCCTTAATCTCCCCCTACCAACCCCTAAAATAATGGTTGTTCCAGTGCAAACTATAAGATATCAATAAACAACATTTTTCAAAATAAATAAAATTGACTTCAATACTAAGGTACTTTTATAATATCATTGATCATTTTAGAATTATAAAGCCTTCTATATGAAGAAGTGAAATTTTGTTTCAATGATCAATAAAGTCAATAAACATTAAAGTTTTGATTTCTTGTCCTTTCACACATACATTTGTTTAGAGGGACAGGATGATCATGTGTGGATGGGGGAAGTCTTAGAATTTTATTCAATATTCAATACCTAGACAGCAAATAATAAAAGAAAATCTACATGTATATTTCCACCAGATTTTTCATTTTCAAATACTTTTCCCATTCTTATGATTTTCTTTTGCAGATGAGAAATTTATGAGAGATGAAAAAATGAATCATACAATATAATCATCATTCTGTTCTTGAAATTCATGAGCAACTTACAAAAAAACAATCATGGCAGATATCTGTGAAAATAGCAAAAAAACCAGCTCATCTACCTGTAAACTAGATTATAGCAGTGAACAGATGTTCAAGTCAGAATGACTGTTCAATCAATTAGGATAGGTAATTCTGCCAGATTCTGTTTTACCTTTGAAAGATGTGATGGTGTAGGGGTGTTTAATCTACTAAATGTTGTTTTAATAGTTTTCCAGTTAACTGCACTAGAGGCAAGTTTATCCCAGACAGCATATGGAGATGGGTTTTTTTCTTCCTGGTCAATACCAGATCATCCTACATGTACATATAAAAAACTTGGCAATAGAATTCATTTCATTAGGGAATGCATTTATACAGAACTAGAAACTGATTCTGTTTTAACTCTGAGCTGCTGCTCAGGCTTACAGAATCTACACATGCGACCAGTGCAAACAAAGATCAGCCAAAACATCTATGCCATCTGATCTGTGGTCAGCAATGTTAGCTACTCAGTCAGTACATCCCTAAATTTACTGGACTGTAAGATGGACAGAGTTACTTTGTACAATTAAGAAATAAAGACTGGTAAGAGTTGTTTTACTGCTTAAATCCACATAATTTCAATCACCCAACTTAGTTTTTCTGTTTCTATTTTATGCTGATTTTAACATATTCTTTTGCCATAACTCAGTGACTGATCCACCTGACCAGCTTTTCTGGATACCTAACCAGTAATTAACCAGTTTCCCCTACAAGGGACAGACTATTAATCCAACATGATTTCAGAATCAGCAGTGTCAGAGAGACAAATGACCATTAGATTCAATGTCCAAGATCAATAATTGCCACTGAGAGCGTAGGCCTTGCCAGAGGACCAAGTCAGTGACCTATGGATACTAATCCAATGCTCTAGCTTCATAATCATATTGAGATAAGCGGGCAGACATAACAATTTGTTGAACTGTTTGTCATAGTTTTCCAAGCTTTAGGTACATAAACTAGCAATGTACTTAAAACATGATAATATTTACCATATAACTAATAAACAATCAATCATTAACCAAAATCTTGGCACCGAAATTTCTTTGTTTCACTAATAATTATTTTAACAACTCATGAACTGAGTGAGAATAAATAAATATGAGAAAAAAACTTGAACGATTATAAAACGCACTTAGATTTATGTGGCTTTAAAGACACGGAGATGCATGTTTGTTGCAACTAATTAAACCCCATGAAACTGCATATATGAATGAATGGAATGAAACGAATAAATTATAATATCGAGTTCACGTCATGATATTTGCTATGTGCACCAACATCGTGATGCATGTTTCCAGCTCAATAATCAATGAATACAATGATGTTAACATGTAAGCATTCACTGACTCCTGGTTTATGTCACAGCTTGATATATACACAGCAAGATATTCTGCACTATCTAATGAACTTAGAATCTAAAGAATGTCTCTGGTTGGAATTCCATTGTGCATATTGCAAATTGTACCTTATCATAGTAATACAGTATATAGTTATACAGAAAGAAATCTGATCAATTTCAGACTTAAAGGTCCATAACTCAGACTTCAAGTTTTTGTCATTCCAAAAGTAATTGCCATGTTTGATGATGTAATTTTATCAGACAAGCATAATACAACTATGTAATACAAGCATTGCTGTATTTCAAATGAAACAACCTGTCAATCATTTAAATTAAGACTATAATTTGAATGAAAATAAATTTAGACAACACAATCAGATGATACCATAGACATAACATTTCATCTTACATGGGAGGATTCTGACGAATTTTGTAGTGAAACTCAGCTTCTTTTACATGTTTACATTTAGACAATTTATTTTCATGTCCACAATAAATCTTTATAATGGTGAAGCTATCTTGACTTGATTTAGATCATGCTGCATTAATGTAAAACAGGTGCTTTAAATATAAATGGTTTCAGGCAAGGGTGGACATGTTGTGCTGTGTAAAGATAAATGAATCAAAGGTGAAATATAAATTCAGACAGTGTACCCCTTAAGTTTTTAGTTAAAGGAATGCATTTCATCAGAATACAAACATCTATTAGAAGCATATAGCCAAAGGAGCGGCAGGAGCCTAAATAAATTTAACTTGCCATGATGTTATAAAACTTTTTTCTGAGTTCTCTCTCAAATCTCTGGATTTTCATTGGTCAGTGAACATTCTGTGCAGGTCGACAGACCAATAAAATATCTTAGAAAGAACATAATACTTTTAAAACCCTGGTCTCCAGTTTTAGATTTTCAGCTTAAATATTGCCGTAACAGCATGTTATAAAGGAGAAAAAGATTGACGTTTTATAATTTGTGGCAGGCACATCATACATTCATTGTTGTCTTTGCCCAAGAAATTGTTCTTTTTGTTTTGTTTGGTTTTAAGTCATATATAAAGGTCATTGTTGTAATTTCTAGCATTATTTCAGGCACAGCCAAACACCAAAAGTAGAATCACAGACATTACGTTTGCCAGCTTGATAACCTTCGTCCCTAACAGATCCAAACCAACAGCAGTTAAAGGTTTGCTACCTTTAATAACCAAACTGGCATCAAGACCTTATAATATCATACAAATATACATAATATGCTTCACAAGTCAACTTTTAATGTCTGAGTTAACTGACTTTGATATATAAATTTAAATATTGAAAGTAATTCACAGTATTGAAGTAAGAGCAGAAAACTTACCAGACTGTGATTTCTATATACCAGTATATTCCAATTTTTTTTTCACAGTATATAATCCAAAACACAAATCAGTTTACACAAAACATATGCTGCTCATTCTCACTAGCACTGTGTATACATCATCACACAACCTGAAAACAAGGAAGATATAATACATAACTGTTTGAATACAATGTACATAATAATTATATTATACAATCTATGATGCATGTTTATGCAGATGATAATATCTCAGAAAAATAACATCTTACATTATATGAGAAGACAGGTTTAAAAAATTATTAATATGTAAAATGATAAAATAATAATATTTTATTTGCAGTAAAGAGAAAACTTAATGTCATTGTGAAAAATGATAGTGTAGCACCAATTGCATGAATTTCAATACACAAGAAATAAATTACCTTAAAATTTCTATTAAACGCCCCCGGGGGCTAAACATTTTCCAAAAGGGGGACAGTTTTTTCTAAATCCAAAAATCATTGTAAATAAATTTAGTGTTAGCAAGTGTTGGTAATAACATTAAAAAGTGTTAAGATTTTAAAGTTCATACTATAAAATAAAATGGATTCTGAATGATTTGAATGAAATTATGGATCATTTACTCATGAGTTCAGCACTGATGAGTAGATTTTTTTTCTTATCAAAAGGCCTGTCCAGAGGCCTTTGTAAGGGGAGGGGCGTTTATTAGGAATTTTACGGTACGTAATATATGCAATAATTTTTCCAATATTTCAAACTAAGTTATTTTTACAGGAAGAAAATTCTGCAAAAGGCAAAATGAAAAAAAGACATTTATACTAATTTTGGGGGATAAGGTTTTTGGGGATACAATAAGGCAAAATTTCTGCCCAAATACATGGTAGTAAAAAACATACATGTATTTTGTAAACAAAAGCCCACATGTCAATGTGTGTGGGTTTGTGTGTCTATTGTAATTCATAAAAAGTAGGAAATTCCCGATCTATCAATAGTGAGTACTACATGAAGTATTTAAGAACTTGTAAAAAAATTGATATTTACCTCATAATAACTTATAATACATTATACTTCAAACATGGAAAACAAAATAATTCAAGTCGAGTGTCAGGGTTAAGTATTTTGAATGAATTAACAAAATCTTAGATAAAAAGATCAAAAGATATGTCTATACAAAAGATTACAACTACCTTACAAAACAAGTGTAATAATATTTTTGTTGTGGCGACATAATAAAGCAGATCAGGAGACAAATATGCCTGTAATCTATATATTCCAAAATGACCGGCGATCTTGGTCCTTATTTGCTAAAAATCTTAAAAATCTAATTTACTCTGATTTCTTTTCATAATCTAGTTAAAATAAATGTTTTGTCCGTTTGTGTCAGTAAAGAATGGACAGGAAAATGTGACCTTATGATCCTTGAGTGCAGTTTACATAAGGAAATGGTCAAACAGAAATTGAAAATCTGTAAGAGTATAATAACATTTTAAAGTTTGCCTAGTAATTAACAATGTCATTTAAGGACATTATGTAACACAGATTTTTAAGTGAAACTACTTCTCTACTAATAAAACTGGGGATCTTTAAGGCAATATTTCAGGCAACTCATCTATTTGTTCATCCATACATGTAATAATCAAAGTTTTTAAAATAACATGAAGAAGTTGAAATTTTACTCATGACTGTAAGCTAAAATTGAACCGGTTATTTCATATTGGTACAAAAATCCAGACACATTTAATTAAAGGCCATTTACCAACTGGTAAGTAAATAAATAACTGACATAACGCCAGAAGAAAGAAAGGAATGGGGAGATAAATCAGAATGATAATGCTGTGTTTCAGGAAGAATAACTTTAGCTGTCAGTCACTGATGCTCCCTTTATACCAAATTTCAGCCCTAAATTGATTTAGAAAGAGTATTTTCAAGAGATTACGCCAAGCTCTCAGATTATTAAAGGGAGTAACTTGCATGCCCTTTTGACAAAAAAAAACATCAAACATTATTCTCAACAATAAAATCATCCAAACAACATTATCATATCTAATCTGCATAAATCAAAAGCAAAAATGGTAACATTACTCCGGCATAATAAGAAGGATAGGACCATTATTATTATTAGATAACCTTTTTAACTGTTTGCATACATATTAGATTGACTGTTATGAAATTAATACAGTAAATACTTACACTAATTCAACTTTAAGCCGTGCAATATCTTAGCACAAACATCGTTCCAAAAGAATTCTATTTTCTGCCACATTAAATCTATTACGTAACATTATTTACATTAATTATTTCATCTTAAGTACTAAGAATTCCAGGTTTAATAGGCATTAGTAATAATGTGGAGCTTTTTTAATGTACTAACTCAATTATAGATTATATGCTGTTTTATCTTTATAGATTATGTGTTCAAGTTCAACACCTCTCAGACAGTGAAACAAAAGCTTCATTCCAACCTGATCATGAAAAATCTGAGATCAAAATTAAGCTTAAACTCAACTTTTATTATAGACAACTGATGAACAATGCAGCTGTGTCAAGTTCCATGCAAAACCAAACAAAACTCCAGGAATGTATGTTTATGAAAATGATGTAGACAAATACCAAATAATTTGATGGATGAATTACAGGATTCTCTTTTATTCTTATTTGTTTTTTACTATCATACAATGTCATGTTACTTTGTACATTGCTGACTCAATTTTTTTTTCATGAAAAACAAGGCAAAAGAATTTGAATGCAGAATAAGAAATGAATAGTTTCTGTAGAATTGATTCTGGTGACACATCAACATGACATTTAATTTCGTTTCAAAGAATTATGCATTATTCTGTATCAATATCAAACAGTGCAGCATCTTGCAGACATGATCAGTCAATATTGTAATATATTCAAACATTACTGCCTATTCAAAATAAGAATTTAATACCTCTTTTAGGCACTCAACTTGAAACTAACAAAACCAAAATGATTAGAAGTTTAAGTCAAGCAGATAATATTTTGTAGATTGGAGTCTAGTTGAACCGAAAAAAAAAGCCCTGGCTCTTTATACTTGTTTTATCTTGGATACCATTACAGATTCTATTAACTACATAGCTATTTGAAGGTGTAGATGGACATGATCATGTGAAAATATCCACATGGAATCTAAAATATTTCAAGCCACGAACATGACTATGTATTATTAGTTGCAACATTGCAGATTTCATCTGATCATGTTACCACCACAATTATCTACCCCCGAAACAAAAACCTTAAAAACATAAAAGTACCACAAAAACTTATAAATCTACATTGTAAACACAAAAATGTATTCATTGTCAATTTTATACCCAACTGATCATGTAATAATTGTTACCCGATAATTAAGTCCGATATCCACTGTGTAATCAACACCTGATATATCACCACTCCAGTATCAGTGTTATCTGGGTATTACCATTGAAAACCTCACCTATTCTACAGACACTCCAGCTCAAGCTTGAAGATCTCTGTCCAATTATCTACTCATTATCCACATACCTTCTACATTTAGCAAGCTAAATTTGAACTAAACAAACAATACAAGTAGATAGTTCAGTTGCAAGTGACAAAAGGTATTCTTCCATTTTTCTTTTTCTTTTTTTTATTGGCTACATTCCTTTTATTATTGAAAAAAATGGCAGCACTCAATTAGAGTTGTGTTTTAAACATGTACATAAAATGCTGCCCTGAAGTAAGTGACAAAATCAGGAAAATTAACACTAACAATGCTTTGCAAGTATCTTTCAATTTAAAGTAAAAATAAATAGGGTAGATTTAAAAATAACTTAACTCACTGAATTAGCAAACAGTGCAGACCAAGACCAGATGGCTAAGATGTGTTGGTTCGGACCTTGGTCTGCACTGGTAACGTAGGCAGATTCAGTTGCCATCAGCAGGCTACTTAAAGTTTGATAATCTATTACAGTATTTATTTGTAATAAACATACTTTATTTCAGGTAATTAATGTTAATATTTTTAAATCAGAAAACATCTTGACAATTAATAATCACATTATAACAACACATAATCATTTATTTAAAAACTTAAGAGTATATAAACAATCTATTATAATTTTACATTTTGGTATTCATACCACATGGTGCATAATTATGTTAGAAAACTATAGATCAACAACCTAAATAATCTCAAACACTTACCATTAAACTACTAAAATAATTTCCAAACTTTATTTCAAATATTTGCAGTGCCTTCTTCATTATAAGCATAACTAATGTAGATTAGCATAACTAATGTAGGCCAACACCAAGCTAATGATGAGTGATCTATAAACAAAACCATCCATGTTATAACCAACCTGTTTAAAACCAATGCCATACTTTTTGTAGCTTATTATACTCAGGTGCACACTTGTGCCAACAATTAAGTTTGACAGGACACCTGTGGTCTTACATGACCAATCAATCTGGTAAGTTGCAACACAATACTAAGAAATTCTCATATAGTACTTACTCCATGCCTTCCCTACATCTGATTCAAGCCTAGTACTATTCAAGCCAGATTTGGGAGAAGCAAAATGATAGTAATGCTCTACTGCTTTTAATTGATTTTTCTATTTTTGCTTATCTCCAATTTCAGTACAAGACAAGAATATTCCAAAGAACTAAATTTATTTAGTTTGAACTCAATTTGGCACTAGAACACTTTAATTGATACAAGAACTATATATAATTATTTATACATGTATTTATGTATATTAGATATTAGAATTCATAAACTCTGATCAAACCTTCATAACAAAAGGCCTCTGCAAAATCCTCTAGAAAAACCATGATACAATAAAAAAATAAAATGTTTTCCTTGTCCTTAAAATTGATGAAAATTGGATCTTTAAATAAAAACATCTGGTTTTGAAGATGGTTCTGTACATTGTATTATGCTATTAAAAGATATTTCGCTTATTGACTTGTCACTACAGTACAACCCCAACTCCTTCTACAACACCCATTGAATTCCTCTAAAACATGTTATACAAGATGAAATATCTTAAAAATGGTTGGGATTCAAGGTTAACAATTAACACACATAACAAATGCAAATTATCATATGTACAATGTATATATACTTTATCAATATATTATCAAGTGTTTTTATACTAATATTTTTGTTTAACATTTAATAATATTTTACATGAAAAATAGTTGATTTTGCTCTATTCAGTTTCATCTGGTTAGTTGATCTACTATCTAAATGTTTTGGAAGACACTGTAAACACATACATGTTACTCTTATACATTTAGTGAACTTGACAAACATCATATACTAAACCAAATTAGTATTATACAAGAATTTGTAACAGAGTTACCAACGTCCCCCGCCTCGGGAAATTTTATATGAAGCATAAAATTGTGCTATTTCAAAAGATTGAGGTTATAATGGATCTCAGGACATTTACTCCAAAATTATGATCAATGCTAGATCTGCAAATGTAACAATAAATTTGTTAAAAAAATAAAATGAAACACGGAATTTAAAAATCTATCATGTTAAGATTTGACCTCTTAGTGTGACCTTGACCTTGGAGGTAGGGGAGCAGGTGTTGTGCATGACATAACGTCTTATTATTGAGACTATTTGTGCCAAGTATTTTCAAAATCCCTTGAACTATGAAGAAGTTATAGATTGGACACAAAATATACCCTTATAATAACAGACTATGTAAATCTTTGATCTCTAAGTGTGACCTTGACCTTGGAGGTAGGGACACAGATGTTACGCATGACATATCATCTAATCATTGTGACTATTTGTCCCAAGTATTTTCAAAATCCCTTAATCTATGAAGAAGTAATGGACGGGACAAAAAATATACCAAATAACAGACTCTGTTAACCTTTGACCTCTAAGTGTGACCTTGACCTTGGATGTAGTGGTGCAGGTGTTGTACCTTACATATTGTCTTATTATGGTGACTATTTGTGCCAAGTTATTTTAAAATCCCTTGAACTATGAAGAAGTTCTAGATTTGACACAAAATATACCCTATAACAGACTATGTTAATTTTTGACCTCTAAGTGTGACCTTGACCTTGGAGGTAGGGATGCAGGTGTTGCGCATGACACATCCTCTTATTATAGTGACTTTTTGTGCATAGTATTTCAAAATCCTTGGATCTATGAAAAAGTTATGGACCGGACACAAAATATACCCTGTAACAGACTATGTAAGTATTTGACCTCCAAGTGAGACCTTGACCTTGGAGGTAGGTGACCGTTTTTTGCGCATGACACATCGTCTGATTATTGTGAACAATTATGGCAAGTATTTACAAAATCCCTTCATAGATAAGAAAGTTATGGACCGGACACGACATATACCCTCAAATAGACAATGTTAACCTTGAATGAGCAAGTACGACCTTGACCCTGAAGGTACGGATCTGGTTGTTGCGCATGACACATCCTCTTATTATAACAAACATTTGTGCCAAGTTATTTCAAATTCCTTTGATAAATGACAAAGTTATGGACCGGACACGAAATATATCCTGTAACAGACTATGTTAATATTTGACCTCCAAGTGTGACCTTGACCTTGAAGGTAGGTGACTGGTTTTTGCGCATGACAGATCGTCTGATTATTGTGAACAATTATGGCAAGTATTTACAAAATCCCTTCATAGATAAGAAAGTTATGGACCGGACACGACATATACCCTCAAATAGGCAATGTTGACCTTGAATGAGCAAGTGCGACCTTGACCCTGGAGGTAGGGGTCTGGTTGTTGCGCATGACACATCGTCTTATTATAATAAACATTTGTGCCAAGTTATTTCAAATTCCTTTCATAAATGACAAAGTTATGGACCGGACACGAAAGTGTGACGGACGGACGGACGGACGGACAGACGGACGGACAGACGGACGGAGCCTATTTCTATATCCCCCTTTTTTCTTCGAAAAGGCGGGGGACAATAAGCAATAACTTATTTAAAGTAATACTTAATAGCTTAATAGCTGATTTTTTCTAGACACCAATTAGATAATAATGCATCTTAATTTGTAAAAGAGTGCATAATTACAAAGCAAACTTACAAAAGTAATATGTTGTAACTACTTAAAATAAGCTCTGTACTTTAAGTCTTTATTGAATCCAACAGGATGCTTATAACGCAAAAAATCTCATCCATAGCTATTAGCTATTATAAAGTAAATTGAATCATGGTGCATTAAGCAAATAGAATCATTGTGCAGTTATAAAATCATCCCTTAATACTATTGTAAAGAAATAACTCACCAAGTTATGTAATTGTAATTTGTAAACAAGTTAATATATCCAAGATAAAACATATAAATTCAAGGTCTAATGAGTAATGTTATTACTTTCAGTTTGCATCTTTAGTTTTCCTATTAATGTTAAACATCTCATTTTTGAGGACTTTAAAAAGTTATCAAGTTGTGTCAGATGGGAGCTTACTGCCAGGGCAAGTTTGTTTGGTTTTGTGGCACCAACACAGTTTAGGGCATGTGGTGCCCAAACAGGAAAGATGATTTTGCCTAACCTTGAGTGTTACAAAACTTTAATGCTACACAAGGAGTCAAAACCACCTCACTTGTTGGAGCTAAGAGATGTATCTATACATTCCATTTTTTTCGAAAAAAAAAATTAGTTGTCTCTTACGATCAAACTGGAATAAATAGTGACTGCAATTCTGATGCCTTAATCCTTAAAAGTTAACCCCCTCAGTCAGTCACGGTAGACATGCCCATAATGTCTAATAGACTATGAAGATTCATAAAATTTTTTTGATGTTTCAAGGGGGTATAATAATTTGCTCAAACTCCGTCCAGACAAAGTTGAAACTTATTGGGCAAAAAAAAACTTCTACAAACATAAATTATAAACTTAGATTTATTTATTTATTTATTTTTATTTTAGCATATTTTTGTTTTAGCAACAACATAGATCAATAGATATCATAGATACATTGTAATCTAACCAAAAACTGAACCAACCGCGTCAATTCGTCACTAGTAACTGTAACGCCAAATTGTGGTGTAAAACATAACAGACATTAGTTCAAATAATTTTTGTGTAGATCTATACCCCACCCACTACAGTTAAGCTTACAGACTCGATTCAAAATAATACAGTTCAGTTGTCATAAGACGCAGTTAAATATATCAATTGATAATCATTTCAATTCTACATCTACCTAATACACGAAAGGTAATTAAGTAAATCTACATTCACTTTACTCACCGCGTTATGTCACAAAAATTTCTTTATTATTTCTTTACAGCGCCCTCGGTCGGCCTTACTCACTCAAGATATATAACTCTAATGAAACTCTTGGTAAGTTGCCGAGTTGCCTTACGAGTATTCTCCCTTAGTCACTTCGCTCCATTCTTACCTATTCTCAGTATCTTTGAGTAAAAATAGAAACATCAGGATCTATAGCATATTTTTCACATATCATCCATTATGCATTATTCTCCACATAAATAGCAAATAATCCATCGAGTATATTAAGTAAGTCATTCAAATTAGTGCTCTAGTCGGCAAAGGTGTTGTATATATTCAATCTTTATTTTAGTCTCATCAATGTACATATACATACAACAATATACACATATAACATGATTTAAAAAGTACATTGCCACTCATATATTGAGTTATAAGAGACTTTAGTAACAATTCAACGAATAAAAAGACTTACGTAATTACTGCTATATATACTACATGTTTATGTATTTACTATTATCACTATTTAGCCCATTCTGTAATGTCCCCAGTATACTGTATTGTAAAATAAATCCTTACTTAATTGTGTTAAAATCCAAGTGAGGAAAACTTATATTTTTATTGACTTATATGGTGAAGTCTGATTACTATGTAGCATTTTCATCAGCTAATCTCATAGTAGTACATTTTTTTTGTATAAATACAAAAAGCATATTGGAGCATCATATTGTATAATATACTATTGCTATATTATTGAAAGGACGTAAGTCAATTTTTTAAGGCAGTAAGTATATTGATGCTTATAATTTCTATCTAGTCTCTGAATGCAATTAGAAAAATGTATTTGTTTTGCACAAATCTCGAGTTCTTGATCACGCAATTTTAGAATAAATAACAAGTTTGCCTATGTTATGTTAGAAAAACTAGTCTGTGTTGAATTTTATACATCAGTTTTACCTACTAGTAATTTAAGCGTATATCAACTATTCGCAATGGCACGGATTTATATTAATCTGTGGCAATGGTCAATTATTCACAATTACTTTCAGTCTAACAGAGAATCAAAGTATGATGAACTATCCCACGAAATAATATTTTAAGTAGACATAGGGCTCTAGATGTACAAGCAGCATACGGCTTGCATACATAACATCAGAAAAATTGAAAATAGTAATTTAAAACACGATGTGGAACCCTTTTTTTTTTTTTTTAAAGAAGTAAGAATAATACTAGTAAATGAAATACATGTTTTGGGTGAAAAGATCAGACTTAGGAGACATTGTGGTTGTTTATTAATTGATATTTTGTCAACATTATAGATGTTAAAGTATAGCGATATTTGGCACTTCAACAACAAAGTCAAATGCAAAAAAGTATGGCAGACCTTGCGCAGAGTTCAGCACAGAGAAACTTACTGAGGACGTCACTCTGTGACTATTCTCTTCCTAAAAATGTACATATTTTATTGAATTTCGTGTGAGGGATTTACCGTATATTGTGCAGATTAAAGTTTTACTGAATTTGAAAATCATTAATGATAAGAAATTATATAATAAAATCCAGAACAAATCACACTTGTCATAGCTTTTGCATAAGCAGTGGGTCTATGCAGCATTGATGCAGCATTCGTCACAGTTCTAAACCAATCATCATCGAGTACTGCATTTCCTTTAAATTTTAGCATGGAATTGTCACTGGCTACTTTGTGTTTTGTCGTTATTTTTTCAGTTAATATTATAAATGCATATATATATATATATGATACTTTCCAGGTTTTGCCCGAAACATAAGCTGAACTACAACTGAAACGAATGGGATTCAGACGCATTTTACGAGGTAAAACTGTGTTATTAAAGCACATTGGTATTGCCTTTCTATCATTACCTCTACTCCAGTCACCTACTTTTTACTATAGAAGTTTACTTTGTCGGAATATATTAGGTCGCGTGTAAATATTTTCTTATAGCTTACAATAATTTATTTAAGTTGACATTCATTGTTATAATATGTTAGTTTTACAGACTAAGATTAATGATATATATTTATAATAGTGATCACCATGTAATTAGGTAAAATATCAATTAATAATGATTTCTTTTTTGTATATAAACAATAAAGTACACTTACGTTTTTTTCTCAACGCCATGCCCTCATTATTTATACATGTTGCATATTGTTTTTTGCAGTAATTCTGGGATATGAACATGTGCTGTGTAATATTTTAAATTACCAACTTACGCTTACTTTAGACAAGTAACTATGGAGCATTAATATCTCACACGTAGAACTATTCGAACATGTTTCAATTCAGTTTATAATTTGAGCCACATTTTTATGGTCATTTGAAATAAATAAGAAATTATGATATCAAATGGAGAAAATAAGAATCCCTAAAGAAAGCCAATATAACGACAAAATAGCACCGGCTTAAGGAGAATTCAACATTTAAATATGAAATGGTAAGATTTTGAATTTAGAAACATCCGCAGATGTGTTCATACGGCGGTTATCATGGAACCTTCAATGTGACACTTCCATGTCATTCCATGAAAAGCGGCGTATGGTCCACGAGTAATAGAAAGCGTGTGCCCTAAACGAGAAAACAATTGGCGGAACAAAATAAAATGGAATTTTGAAATGGGGATCAGAGGTTATGAAGCCTGCATATCACAGATTCGACGTCAAAAGACAAAGTTAAAAAGCAGGCAACATTATCCTAAGGGTGATTAAACATTATTCAAGTGGGAATATTGGAACCACCCAACTAGAAAATGGCGAAAAGTTAAAACTCAAAATACCACAAACACAACAATAAAGTTGTGTTGAACGATCTTTATGATAAGGATCGGAAATATAACATCGCTGATTGAATGTAGGGGCGACTTTTTACAGCCTCCTCACGGCACAAATAACGCTGATGTGGCGATAAAATGGAGAAAATAAGAATCCCTAAAGAAAGCCCAAAACGACAAAATTGAAAATGTTGCAGGCTCGGTTTGATTGAGCCTGTTCATGTACGGTACTGTAAAGTGCAAACTACCGTCCACGCCCTCTAGCACCGGCATAAGCAGAATTCAACATTTAAATATGAAATAATTAAGAAACATTCGCAGATGTGGTTATACGGCGGTTATCATGGAACCCTCAATGTGACACTTCCATGTCATTCCATGAAAAGCGGCGTATGGTCCCCGAGTAATAGAAAGCGTGTGCCCTAAACGAGAAAACAATGGGCGGAACTATTTTGAAATGGGGATCAGAGGTTATGAAGCCTGCATATCACAGATTCGACGTCAAAAGACAAAGTTAAAAATCAGGCAACATTATCCTAAGGGTGATTAAACATTATTCAAGTGGGAATATTGGAACCACCCAACTAGAAAATGGCGAAATGTTAAAAATAAAATACCACAAGCACAACAAAAATGTCGTGCTGAACGATCTTTAAGGATCGGAAATATAACATCCCTGATTGAATGTACGGGGCGACTTTTTACAGCCTCCACACGGCACAAATAACGCTGATGTGGCGATAAAATGGAGAAAATAAGAATCCCAAAAGAAAACCAAAACGACAAAATTGAAAATGTTGCAGGCTCGGTTTGATTGAGCCTGTTCATGTACGGTACTGTAAAGTGCAAACTACCGTCCACGCCCCCTAGCACCGGCTTAACCAGAATTAACATTTAAATATGAAATGATAAGCTTTTGAACATAGAAACATCCGCAGATGTGTTCATACGGCGGTTATCATGGAACCTTCAATGTGACACTAAAATATATAAAACTATTTGAATTGTAATGTTTAAAAAGTATTTTTGAACTATCATGATATATATAATTTGTTGACGTATACATTTTGGTACATAGTCATAAATACAAAACACGTAATACATAGATCGTCTGTCATGGTACGATCATATTGAAAACAAACATTTTTAAACAGAATGTTCTTTAGTCCATATTTAAATAATACAAAGTTTACATTAATCTAATTATTACCTTGCAAAAATAAATTCCATTTATTTAATATAAAGTGAATCAACGATACAAAATACATAATAAAATCCATACTGTCGCTATTCAGGAGCAAAATTATCATGCATTTACTGGTGAATGCAGTGTTAATAACAGTTTTTAAATGGTAATATTTATAAGGTCATATCGACGCTTTAAGTCGCAAAGATGGTGTATTTAGCAAGTCCAATTAATTCATATTTAGTTTTTGAATTCAAAAAGCTGCTAAAAAATAAACATTCTTGGTCTGTAAAAGTATGGCTTAATGAACGCCCAATGTAATGCAAATGATAATAAAATGAAATTCATCCTCATTTTCTTGAATATTACATAATTCGCATTTCCTTTCTGAGCGGGGATGTCTATTAGGATCATACCTCTCTGCCTTTATCTTTAATTTATGAGAAGATAACCTAATACGAGATAAATTTTGGATTTAATAAATAAAATATTAAGATAAAATGCAGGTTCAAATTTGTCAATCAAATGTACATACAGAGCAGACAATAGTGGACTAGACTGAATGTCTGCATTTACCTTTTGTATAAAACAATCAACTAATCTACGTTTGAATATTTGAACAAACTCTTTTGGACTGTATTGCAATGGGTTGAGCCCATACAGCTGTAAATCCATATACATTTAAATAGTATGTGTGACTAAAATTGCAGTTTTGGCTTGATTGACTCTGTTCGAACTTGCAACATCTTTCACGCCCCTAGTACATATACAATATATCCACTCTCGCTAATTTTACTGCTAATTTAAATTCACACTCTATTGAACAAATGGACACATTCATTTTGTACTACACAGAATTACAAAAAATTGTTACAAAAATCAATTAAAGGATAGAAATCATAGTCTTGATGCAATACTTGTTTTATAGTTAATTGTTTTGTTGTATATATTAATGAAATTGTCAAACATCAATAATGCGATAATTGGCCTACGCACACTCCGGTGCGTGTTATTCTATAAAAAAAAAAAACGCAAAGAAATCATGTTACATGCCATGTAAACGGCACAACATCATCACTTTTCCTTGTACACCATCACTCATATCCCCATTAATTGTACTTTCTGCATCAAAATTGACAAAAAATGTAACCACTATTAATTACAATATCTTGTTTTCACAACACAAAATATCACTGCGGCCAATTATTACCCTAATAATTGCCTGTTAACATAACACACACATTTACCTGTTTTGTAGCAACGAGGACTTCATACTATCAATTTTTCATAAATATACTTTTTATGGAAACATGTCTTGTCGCTGTCTTTCATTTGTCAACGTCGCGGACATTACAAATTGCTTCTGAAGACAAATATGTCACAATGGTATACTTTTTTTCTAATTGTATGTAGCTAGATATTTACATTTTGGCTAAATATATATTCTACAAGCTTTAACCTTGATACATTTTGATAAGACAAATCTAAAACATAATATTTGTTCATGGAGTTGAATATCTCCATCACACTAATTGTTTACTACATTGTAACAATTTTTTTTAATCTATATACAAAAAATACGAGTACATTGTTCATGTTTTATTGTTCCGGTAAACATTTAACATAGCAGACCACACCACACAAAATGTGGATCTCTTTTTTATTTATTAATAATTTTATTATGTAGTTCACTTCACAACTTGTACATTTAATATGAAGAGTGCCTTAACTACAAAACAGAATACAAAATAATACACAAAAGAAAAAACATGTATGTTTACAGTTTAAAGCAAATGGTATGGGCCTCCCCAGCCATGATTTTGTTACAAAAAATACACTTTAATTTAAAGTTACACAAAAAACAATTACAAATTACTCAAAAACAATTTAAAGTTACACAAAAACGTGTTTGTGTAATTAATGTGTAAGACCAAGAAACCAAGTATTTCATATAAATATAATAAAAATTGCAATTAAATAGAAATATTAAAGAAAAATAAAATAAAAAATAAATAAAAAAGAAACAACGGCTCCCCACCCCCAACAAAACATCAACATGAAGAAAAAAACAAATACAATTTTAAAATCATTTCTCCTCCAAAAACAGACAGATTTCACTAACTGGTACACCACTCCAAGTTTTGGTTGGATTTTACGTTGCACCAACACAGTATCGATCATATGGCGAATTTCCAGCTTTACTGGTGGACGAAGATCTCATGTGCCCTTGTGTGCATTATTTCAGGCACGAACGGGCATCTGAAGATCCACCGAATAGCTTCCTCATGAAAGAATCCGAAGTTCCAGTGGTTTGAAGTCAACGACCTTAACCATTCAAATGATCATTGTTTATATATATTATGTTTGTATCATGTATGATGCACTAAGAGAAATAAAGAATTTGAATTTGAATTAAAATGTCTCAGCCCCTCCCCCTATCACCGACTTAAACGTATTTAGAGAGGAAAGATAAAACGCCGAGACGAAGCAACATTGTACAGTTTCACATGCTTTCTATGATCTGGAAATGATGGGTCATTTAAGTGAACGGAAACAAATAGACTCGGTTTAAGTGAACTTGGCCATGAGAGATAATGGTGGTTGCAACATCTCTCACCCACTCCAACACCGCCTAAAGCGGTATCCAAGAAATAATTCAGAAAGATATAACAAGTACCAGAAAGGTATGACAAGTGCCAGAAAGATATAACAAATATCAGAAAGATATAACACTGTATCAGATGGTAAATCCTTTAAATTATTTCCCTATATTCGTGTAATATCTCGTGTAAAATATTCCTGTTATATCAGAATAAAGCATTGCTTAATTAAGTAGTATTCTAACTTGTTATGACAACTTTAAAAATTTGCTTTATAAGCAATCAAAAATCATACGCAGATAAAACCTATGAGTGTCATGACAAAACCAACATAGAGCGTTTGCGACCAGCATGGATCCAGACCAGCCTGCGCGTCCGCGCAGTCTGATCAGGATCCATGCTGTTCGCTATCAGTTTCTCTACTTGTAATAGGGTCTGTAAGCGAACAGCATGGATGTAAAGTAAATGCGCAGGCTGGTCTGGATCCATGCTGGTCGCAAACGCACTATGTTGGTTTTGTCATGGCGCGGCTGATATTATATGTTCATCATTCTTTTTATTCTGTGGCTTTAAATAAAAAGACTATTTTCATAATTATTTAGATAAATGATTTTATAAATATTACAGCTTTCTCAATTAGTTTAAAACTTTAATTCGACATGTAACTGGTTTTTTTATCGTACATGGTTTTTATCTCTCATAATATATACGTATCATTTTTGTAAATTATTAATTTGAAGGGAAAAAAGCTGAGCGCTGAAGACATAGTTCTTGTATTTCTTGCAAAAATGTAGTATGTTTTGCGCATATGACCGAGTAATTCCTCTTAATTACATTAAGTGTTTATTTTTATCACAAAATGCTATTTTAAACAACTACATGTAGAAACAATTATACCTGGCATGATTAAATAAGAAAATAAAAAAAACCTTCTAATTTTGACATTTATATGTGGTAAACATAAGTAGTGAGATTGTTAACATGTATCGCGCGTGGTGATGTGTTTAGAGGGCATGACAATGTAACTCAGTTCCTCTATTCTAAACGATAAAGATGTGTTCATATTGTCACTATAGGGCATAGGGAATACCACAGCTAGGTTACACTGTCAGAAAATTATATTTTAAGGCTATTTAAGACAATATTCTTTGAAATATAAATTTCTTTGTTTAATACGCGCTGGAATTAATCTAAACCGGGTAAGTTGGCTATTCACTTAATGTTTCTGACATTTTAAAACTTGTTTTGGAATTGTTTTTATTTTAATGAAAAGTGTCGTTTTGTTTTCTTGGTGTGTATCTCTTATCTCAATATATTAGAGAGGCAATTTGAACAAATTTGAAACGTTAGGCAATTAGAAATAAATTACATTTCATAAAATTCATTCATACTTGTTCACAAAAATAAATAAATAAAAAAACTGAATTCTGTTTAGATACTCATGTATATATTTTAGTATATAACGAATTCACTGTGGTTTGAGATTTGCCTTGTCTATTGCTCAGAGCTGTGTGACAATTTGAATTCATTGCAGTTTGGGTTTCGCCTTCTAAAATATTGACCTCTAGCTGTGTGACAATTTCAAAATGATATTGTACAAGGACGGGACCCAATCATTTCAAACATGTTGTTATATCTCTAAATTTGTCCTTTTTGTACATTGTAAGATAAACCTGAGTATGCGTAAAGTATATTCTTCATATTAAACATATACATGTATTATGATTAAATTTGATATTTGAAAAAAGAAAGACAATTACATTTGTACCATTCAGTCTCTATTGAAATGTAAAATAAACATCTTTTGAAAACACATAAAAAAGAAAATATGTTACTTTGTAAACTCTAAACACCTACAAGTAATCACAGTTTAATTACAAGTGTCATCAAAAATAAAATAGACCGGATTAATTTGACAAGTAATAGGGAATTCGGCTTTATACATTCACTTATTCAAATTAGACATATTCAGGAAGAATTTACTAGATTTCAATTTATTTCTACAATTGTATTTTACCCAAAGATGAGTATATCTCTACTGCAGTAAACATATAAAAGAAAATATTTCATAAAAAAAGTAAAAAAAAACAACAAAAAACATATCCGTTTGAACATTTGAAATTTGAAAATTACAGCTTTCAAGTTAAAATAAACTAAGCTTAACACGTATGTTACTACACTCTAAATAACATTCTAGAAAATGTGAGGAAAACGAAAACAAAATAAAAATGTATTGATTAAATATTAATTTTAGAATTTTATAAAATGAAACATAGAATTAATGTCATGAAGTATTATAATATAATAATATCTTTTTTTTGTATTTGCAAAAGCTTTAAAATCTTTTTAAAAATTCAATATGGAATTATACTTTTGTATCAAAGTAAGAGATATATATTTTTTACACAAAAGTAGAAATATAATGAAACATATAAAAGATATCCGTTTCCGTCTGCCTAAATTATGCTCTAATCTTTGCGAAAAGCCACTATATAAACTGTGCTCAGGGATCTGTTTTTATTCTGTAATCGTACTCATTATAATAACTCATTAAATCATTTTCTATGGAAGGACGCGTAATCTGTCACAAAATAGTTTCAAAGAAAAATGCAGGACACAGAAATGTATAATGGTATCATTTAGAAACTTTTTTTTTTCAAACTACCATATTTCTTTCATACAAGCATTTTGGAAGTATTCTTTAAAAAAAATTCAAACAATCATTCTTGCAGCAGATATATACGTTAGCTTTATAAGCTTTAACATAAATAGTCATGATCATGCGTATAGTTTTTTAATGTTAACTGGACTGGTGCTTGGTAACAGCAACACACTTGATTCCTGGTCATTCAAGTAAATTGTCTGTGTTCAATTGCTCTGGCAGCTATTTTGAATATATACTTAATTATCATGCAATGGTACTCTTTATATTATGTTTCGAAAAAGAGTTACCAGTATATGTTTTCGACAAATCTTAGCTCCATTTGACGTGCTATTTATTGGTTAGCATGTCTTTGTGAGGAACATAAGGTTGAGGATGGGTTACTTAGAAAAAATAGTGCTACAGATCCAAATGACAAGCACGTTGAGGAACTCACACTTTACCGAATGTCAAATGTCATTGCTGGAGTAAAATCGTCAATCCATGCCACTGTTTTATTTATTTAGTTATTTTTTTTTTCTCTTCACTAGTTCTCATGATATGATATTACTGCATATTCTTTATGTATTGTTTTGTACTTTAAATAGAACTTTGAAGGTCTAAACTTTGTTAAGTAAGTGATGTCAAAAATTGGGGAAATTTATATATTAAAAATAAAATATAATTCTTACATCCTTATTATGTTTATGTACATACTGTTCTCATTATTTGTTTATTGAATCGCCGAACATAGCGATGAACATTTTAAAATATTTTGTAAATTAAAACTTTGAATCTCTTGAATCTTTTAAAACATATACATAAGAAAGAAAAAAACAATTTATGTAAGAAATTGTCAATACAATAAAAAATGCTGATAATTTAATCTTTATGTTTTGAATTTTTCACCTTCGAATCGAAGCCAAAGTATATGTGTTATTTTATTACTGAGTCACAATCTAATTTAAAGACGACATAATATAAAAGTTATTTCAATTTCCTAATATAATACTTCTGTTGGTTAGGACTGAAAACTGCTCAAGCCGGTGCTAGGGGGCGTGAGAGATGTTGCACTGTACATTTTTTCTCCCCTGCATCAATAAAACCGGCTTTTTGATATTCAGTTATTTGTTGTTAATCATCCCGTTCCTGTTTGTTGCCTTCGAGGTCTCTGACCTCATTCAATTAATTTAAGAATTTCTAAGAAATTTCATTTTTGGAAGCTTGACGCTTAGAAGGTTGATATCGAATTGTCCTTTAAATCCATGGTGACTGTACGGAAACAAGATATAAATAAACGAGGAAACTTATCAATATGTATATTACTAATTTATAGAAGAATCTAAACCGTACATTTATTAAGCTTTTAACGACATCTTAATTAACACTATCATATTAATAATTCATTTTATATGAAATGGACGAATTTTACTGACGGATTGGTATTTAAAATAAATCTTTGATATTTTATATGTAAACGATGTTGGCATAAATTTAAAGCAAATCTGTTAAAATAAGGGTAAGAATATAAAAAGAAGGTCATTGCATTATTAAGGAAATATTTGACATGTTTAATACAAGTATATCATAGTGAAATTACAAAGCAAGTAAATTTGGAAATTTGGAAAATCCAATTTGAACAGAATTTAATTGGCTTTTAGGTTTTTAGAATGATAAAAATTTGATTTAGATAATATATTATATCGATAAAAGACATTTCTTATAAATAAGAGGTATATTAACTAAAAGGAATGTTATTTTTAAACAACCATATTAATCAATTTTCAATCCAATTATCTAACATCTAGTTCAATCAAAAACAAAATCTATTTCAATCCAATACACGAAATAAATTTATTTTTTAATGACAATAACATAAATACTGTCATAATTTAACAATTACAGTATATAAATATTGGAGAGAATTTTTTATATTTTCTTTAACTTTCAACTCTAATAATGTTTCATTATTTTTAAAATTTTGTATTGTAAAAATGCATCATTAACCAGACGTTATCATTTATTTGAAATAAACTATGTTCTATCAATAAAACCATATAATTATGTAGTCGTATATTTTATAATGAAAAAGGGCTATTTAAACATTAATACGTTTTAGATATGTTAAATATCTGGAAAATTGTGATCCCTCGACAGCATTAAAATCAGCAAAATTACAAGAAAATTGCAGACTCGGTGTGATTGAGTCTGTACATTATGGATAAAGAAAATGTGCAACTTCTTGTACGTCCCTAGCACCGGCCTGAGCGGTACACAATTTTCAACACTTAATGTGCTGGAATCAATGATCAAATATAACAATACTTTTCTGAATCAGCCTCTAAATTTATATGAAAATAAAGACATTCTGCAAGCAACTGAGTACATTTCAGTCAAAGCAAAAACATGCCGTGTCCAAATATATATAAACAATTTTACAAGATGATAAAAGTGCCCTAACAACGTTTCCCTAACAAGAAAGCATTAATCATACATGAAAAGTAGTAGTGTAATTTTTACTATTCAAACACAATAGTTACAAGGACAAACGCTACAAAATCTGGTCACGTGGTACACATTCTACATAATTCTGCTTAATTAACATGAATTTCTAACATACATTAAAGCATTCTTATATGTTAAAGTTGAACTTTTATATCATCAAGTAATATTTAAATTCAAATCAATAAAATGGTCAAAATGTTATATTAAAGGCCCATTATGCCACATAATTTTTAATGCATTTAATTTTATTTCTCGAAAGATTTTAAATTTTGGTGTTCTTTTATAGTATTTAAAAAAGTTACTCATTGGCCAGTTGCCTGAAAAAATCTGTTTCATTTGTTGATTAGTGGCATTACAGTTACAGTGAATTAATACTTTTTATGGAAGTCAAAATACTACTTTGTTTACATTCTGCTTCTTATATGACAAAAAAGTTCATATTAATCGCTACTTACTTCAGGTAAAAAGCATCTAACATTCTCTAAAACCATTATTCAAACATAATAAAATTCATGATTGCCCTTGCTTAATAAGAAGTAAAATTGTATTCTAATGCATACTGTGCCTTTAATATCGAAAAAACTGCAGAGTAATATAATTATGGCAATGTTAACCGTTTATTCATAACAAATCGGAGTAACAAGTGCTCATTTTTATTACAATTATTTCACGTTAATTTGAACTTTGTTTAATTATTCCAAAAGTATAATTTCTTTTATTGACGGAATCAAAACTTCATATATACTGTTAACACGTTACATTCGAGTATATTGATAAATACTTGAAAAAAAAACAACAACAAAAAACAAACAAACTAGAAACAGATAAATGTAATATTAGCAATACACACAGTACTGAAAATAATGCCGAATACATGGGAAATATTTGAGTTAAATATAAACGTAATATCTGGGTTAAATTAAACAATATATCCAAGTAATGGTTTTTGCAAACGCCTTCGCATCGCAAATTATTTTTCAGGCTTGATTATATATAATAAACAATATTTGTTCGGTAAAAATGTAACTAACTTTATAACATTAAAAAATATCA